GACGCTCCAGATCCAAGTTGAATCAAGTCATTTAAAGCTGTGACCAGAACGCTATGAACGTTTGAAGCCGCTGTGCAGAAATCCGACTGTGCACTCTATCTTTCGTTTTAGGCACATTGGAGCCTACTGTGGCTATAACATATGCTCGCCGTTTCGCATCACCGAGGATACTTGCATACTGGTGTGAGAAGGGCGACTGAACCCAACAAGTGTTTACTGGAGTCGGGGATGACTTTTCGCTGTAATTTGAACCAGTTAGGGTTTCTATTTACGGATAGGATCATCAGCAAACAACAACTGCGCATCGTGCATACACGATGGTCTCGACGCGCCGTTATGCCATAGGTGCTAGTGGGGTGACGTAAAGGGTGGACGAATGATCCGAACATGCCATAGCGTAGCGTAGGATAGAATGAGGGGCGGTGCGCGAGAAGTGAAGGTGGGGATTATTGAGAACGGAAACACGTTTAGTACATATTGATGGTAATGCGTGTAGTGGAGAACATGTTTGACAAATTGGTAGGCACGGTGGGGCGTGATGGGAAGTCGGGGGACCGCCTTCTTCTAGGGTCGAACCCGTAGGTTAGAACTCATGGCAGGGAACAGGTGTGGAGCATGTAGCCATGAGCTTGAGTCGGACAACTTACTGAGGATCCATCTTTGCTGCAATGACATGTGCAGGAACATGCTGCTTGAGAGGTTAGAGAGTCAGGCGGTCGAGGCGTTCGGAGGCGTTGGCGGCGTTGAGGAATGAACCGCATCATTCCGATAGTGAGTCTGCCCCGGGTAGCCCGCACGCTGCTGACTCGCTGCTCCGATATCTGAGAGAGTGCCCTGAACAAGCGGACTTCGTGCACGGGTATGTTTCTTTATCGGAAGACGGCTCCGTTTTGACAGTTGGCGAGTTGTTCAATACTCTGAACGAGTTGTACATGTTTTTCAAGGACGCTGATCTGTCTGACAGGGAGATAAATCGAGTGCTGCACATATTCAACCACCTGGGATACGATCCTACAGCAGTTCGGCGCTGGCAGAACGTCGCGGACGTTCGGCGGCATGGGGAGGAACACCAACCGGACGACATGGTGCTGTGGCTCAAGGCAGATATTGAGGTGCGGGGGTCTGGAGGAAGGTCGGAGATGCTGGAACTGCTGTACAAGGACATCAAGCTGGTGAGCGCTGGAATTTAATGACATTCCAGTACGGCGATAATGAGTATGATCATGATGAAGCTCTAACCAGATTTATCTGCCAATATTGTGGCAGATACCGCAAAAAATGGTGAGGACATATGTAAATCTGAGGGGGTTTGTCAGAAGGCCGCGGAGAGATCCTGAGGATACGGTGGACACATGACATTTCAGTACGCCCGACACAGGCACTTGGCTGGAAGATGCGCAGGCAAGTAGAGGAACTTGTTCCCGGGCGTCTCATGGGTGCACAAATGTGCGTAATACTGACAGTATTCATCCAATTGCGTCGATGACAGGCGGATCTACCGAAGGAGGATTCAATGGTGCTGGGTGTAATATCATACAGTGACAACACATACGCGTCGGGGAACGGACGCTTGCAGGCTTGGCCAATGCTTATGGGTTTGGTCAATGTCCCGGAGGAGTTACGATGGCGAGAGCCGGAGCACGCTCTAGTGGGTGTGCTCCCTTTTCCGCCAGAGTGGGCATCAGCGACAGAGAAGGTTCGGGTGTATCTTGAGGCGTATCGCATCGTGATGGGTCCGTTGATGCGAGAGAGCCGAGAGTACGTGCTCTGAATGCATGTGGTATGCCATGGGATGCGACGGGGTTAGTCGTCGGCTTCTAACAGCTATCAAGCCGTTACATTGTGCACGCAGAGGTCCGCTTCGATTCTTCGATGTGTCGGACGGGTGGGGAGGTGTGGTGAAGGCATATCCATGCCTATATGCATTTGTCGGCGACTATCCTGAAGGGTGTCGGGCCACAACAACAATGCAACAGGCTTCGCACAGACCGTGCTCGACATGCTACATCAAGAGGAAGCACCTTCATGACCTGTCAAACGAGTTTAGATTGTGAACGGTGAAGAAGGAGCGGCACGCGGCGGCGGAGATACTGAGCGCAACAACGGTGGACAAGGCTGCAGCGGCCTAGGCCAGGTGGTCTACGCATCCGATCACGGTATGCGCAAAATGTCCATGGGAAGCACGCAACAGTGAAGTGCTTCATTATGGGGAGACCCTGGCTCAACGTCGTTGATGCATCTCGTTGCGCGTTAGGTAGAGTCTGATAGCAGCATCCAATGTACAGAGCGTATTGGAGCGATGGAACTTCTCTGAGACGAAGTGGGGTAACGTCTTCTTGGCGGTTGTTGGCGACATATTGCATGTACTCGATTTAGGGGTGCTGGTGCATATGGCCACCTGTTTCATGGAGGGGAAGACGAAGGCCGAGATAAGAGGGTTTGATCGGTGAGTACACACAGTTTTCGTGCTTTGGTTTTTTATGTGGTACTACGTCCGTGGCCGATCTCACGGGAACAATGGCGTTGTGGTGCTTCAGTGTGCATGGTGCATGGAGCAGCTGCAAGTTTGGAGTGAAGGGCGACACAAGGAGTGTCTTAGTGCGCATTCCGGGTGGTTGCACCTTCTTCCGCAGCGGGGCGAATTACGCAGCTTTCGAGTACCGTGGCATGATGCAGGTTTTCCCGATTATCATTTTGGACCTGTGCGTGGGGCGCTCTGCGGAGGAACGGGACAAGAGAGATGCGGAGGTTCGTGCCTTTCGCTACTATGCGGTCTTCTACAAGTCTCTGCTGGTCGTGGCCAAGCAAACGCGGGTCAGAATCGCTATCGCAAGGCAGCATGGCATCTCGTGAGTGTACATGCAGGACATGTATATTTGAACTACGATTGGCCATGTTGATCACGGTTGTGCTGGAGCAATGTGCTGATTATGATGAGCCTACACGTACGTGCAGGTTGGTTGCTGCGCTGCATGCTGCGTTCCCGAAGCAGAAGTCGAAGTGGAACTTCGTGAAGCTCCACGAAGTCGTGCACCTTATTGACGGCATAGTCATGAGGGGTTTGCCGCACGAGTACTCGACGGAACTGTGGGAGCATACCCACAAGGGCACCATGAAAGGCCCCATGCGCGGAAGCAACTGGAAAGACATACCAAGGAGGATTGTCGAGGAGGAGACGTAGCGTGAGATCACAAGGGAAATAGCGGCGCTGTCGAGCGGTGGGAGAACATACTACATAGCACTACGAGAGGTACAGAAGGCTTCACCGTGCATGGTAGGGGGCATTTGTTAAAGGTACGCATGGAAGCGGATTGTGCGGAATTAAGCACGTGTCAAGTTTTCCTCCCATGCGTGCTCACTATCCACCACTCAGGCTGTGCGCAACATGAAGCCAGCGCTGACCCGCACCAGCAAGGCCATGTGTCTCATGACGGCCGACGATTCTCTGCACATGCTGTACAGGGAGACGGTGGCAAACAAGGTTGACAACATGGCGATACTCATGGCCGCGGAAGGCCTTAAGACTGCGCGTGTGTTGGTGAGATATCGTGTTAAGTTGTAAACCATGCGGGGGGATTCAGTTTTTAAGGTGGGTAGTGCGTTGTGTGTGGGGGGCGTACGTGAAGGGGTCACGTGATACAATATGATGTTCCCAATACAAACCCACCCATTTACGGCAGGTGCACACCGCAGTGGCCATCCCTAGCACGAAAGGGGGGTACTTGGTTCCTAAGGCGATGTTCGTGAAAGCAAGCCCGAAAGAGAACTGGTTCACCGACATTGCGATCCCGGGAGAGAGGGAGAAGGGGGAGGAGGATGAGTAGTGGTATGCACGGTGTCTCTGTATTTTCAGGGCGGTGAACGGCAGCGGGGAGGAGGGTGCGTACGTGTTCGTGAAGTATTACGAGGAGGAGGGGGTGTGTCCACAGACGCTTTGACACCAGCTGGTGCCTGGTCGGAAGGAGGCCACACACGGGATAATTGAAGTTGCATCGATCGAAAGAATTGTTCACGTGTGCAAGTCGTTTACCAATCCCAGAATGCTGCTACTCAATAGGTTTGCACTGATCGACTGATGTATTCTAACATTTTGCATGAGGCGGAACAAGAACAAGGTATCTGCGTTAACATATGTACATTAATAGCTTTTGGTGTCAGAATGAGGTGACATATGGCCGGTAACATGTTGTAACAGCATGTACAAAGTCACAGTTGTCACGCCAGAGTTGCGTAGGCGACACTGGAGTTTTGCTAACACTGGTGGCGCAGCAGGAAAAAGTCAGTCCCCTGACCCTGTATAAACATAAGCGCGTGTTTCATTATTAAAACACAAAAACGAATCGGCATATGAAGGTTCAAACTGTCGGGCTTAACCAGTATGGAAGAGAGAAAGAATCATCAAGTGCCATGTGGAGAGTGAAAAAAACAAATCTAATACTGTACCTGCATATAAAACACCTGACCCTGGCGTATTTAATCCATGAAATACAGGCAGTTCAAGAATTACCAAATTCAACGCAAGGAGACCAAGTGAGCCAAGTGGGCCATGAGAGACACATTTCTCTAGTCACTAAGCTCTCTGGTGACTGGTTGTGAGCAGCAGAGGCAACCGGAATCATGGGGCTGGAATAGGTAGCCTTGGGGGGACATTAGGAAATTGAGGATGATAAGGGACAGGGACAGGCCAAGGCCACTGACCTGACAGAAAGGGCACGACTACGTTGTGAACAGGGTTGGGGGGGAAGGGGGGGGGTTCGGGGAGGGAGGTTGGGGGAGAGGAGAGGAGAGGTGAGAGAGGGCAAGGTCAGTCAAGCAGTCTGGGACAAGGGAGGGGACAGTCCAAGATCACTGAAGCAGGGGGAGAAAGGTCACACGGCATCTCTGGTTGTGAGCAACTAGAGCAGCTGGAATAATGGGGGCAGCACGGGAGACAGGGCAAGGCTGTTGAAGTGGTTTGGGCGGAATTGGGAACACGGCAGGAACAGATCGCGTGCTCCTGCTCAGCGCGCAAGGCCGCTGAAAGGAATGGACGCAACTGGCATATGAGGGGGAGGAGATGGAGGTAAGTGAGACGGGCGAGGGGAAGTGGGATGGGATGGGATACGTGAACAGAACCAGGGGAAGTGAGAAGGAAGAGAGAAGGGAAGGGGCGAGCGGAGCAGCGGGAGGACAGTGGCTGAGGACAGCAGGAGGTCGGAGAGTGAGAGTGGAGATAGAGTAAGTGGACATGCCTAGGGAGCTGGTAAGTTGGGATGGGTGGATGATGATAATGGGGAATGCGGGGTGAGGGACGGGGGGGGGGGGGATGAGAGGTGAAAGATCGGGGGGGGAGTGAGAGGTGACAGACGGGGGGGGGAGTGAGAGGTGACAGATGGGGGGGGAGTGAGAGGTGACAGACGGGGGGGAGTGAGAGGTGACAGATGGGGGGGGAGTGAGAGGTGACAGACGGGGGGGGAGTGAGAGGTGACAGACGGGGGGGGGGGGGGGTAGAGGTGACAGACCGGGGAGGAGAGAGAGGTGAAATCGTTATGAGCAACGAGGGGCGGAATGATGGGTAATAGGAAGAGGTGAATGAGGGGTGAGCAGAAGAGGGGAATGAGGGGTGAGCAGAAGAGGGGAACGCCTCAAAACACTTCTATCATCGGGTGCGTGAGGGGCCAGGGAAAGGGGGAATGTGGGGTGTGCAACGGGGGGAACGGGAGGGAATGAGGGGTGAATAACGGGGGAAATGGATGGTGAGCAGAAAGGGGGAAATGAAGGTGGTTGAGCGACGGGGGGGATGGGGGGTGAGCGATAGCGGAGAAATGAGGGTGAGTTAATGGGGAAAACAAGGGGTGAGTGAAAGGGGGGGAAATGAGAGGTGAGTAAAGCAGGGAAAGGAGAGGTGAGCGAAGGGGGGACGAGGGGGAAAGAGACAGGGAATGTGAGGTACTGGGGGCCGAGCGACGGAGGGAACTGAGGGGTGAGCGACGGGGGGAAACGAGTGGAGAGCGACGGGGGGAAACGAGTGGAGAGCGACGGGGGGAAACGAGTGGAGAGCGACGGGGGGAAACGAGTGGAGAGCGACGGGGGGAAACGAGTGGAGAGCGACGGGGGGAAACGAGTGGAGAGCGACGGGGGGAAACGAGTGGAGAGCGACGGGGGGAAACGAGTGGAGAGCGACGGGGGGAAACGAGTGGAGAGCGACGGGGGGAAACGAGTGGAGAGCGACGGAGGGAAACGAGTGGAGAGCGACGGGGGGAAACGAGGGGGTAACGACGAAGAATATGAGGTAAGCGAGAAGGGATGCGGGGTGAGCGAAAAGGAAATGCGAGGTAAGTGACGGGGGGAGCACATGGCTGATGCGCGACGAAGCGTAAACGACCGGAAAGCGCGAGATGCGGATGAGCACTGAGCGCAAGCGCAATGAGGGGTGGGCGCAACCGGCGCAATGAGAGGAAAATCAGAACGAGGGAGATTAGGAAATGGGGTGAGGGGTGAGCGGCGGGGGAAAAAGGGATGAGCGTGTGAGGGAGATCCGAACCCAGAAGCCCTCCTGCGGGCCTGATGCCGCGGAAGACATCCCTCCGAAACCCTAACTGCCTGGCAATATGGCGAAACATGAGGGCGTGGGCGGAGGGAGGGAGGGGAATCTGGCGAAAGGGGATGAACGTAGTCTGATCGTGCTCCTCTGAAATTATGGCGTAGAGACGTACGCCACGCGTGCGCGTCACTAGCGCGAATCATTGGAGACAGCGCGTGTCGCGGAAACATAGGGATGTGCGCGCTGTATATTGAGGTACGAAATTTCTCTTGTAACCGCTAACAACGCAATCCCTCAAGAATAGAGCTGCTTCGCGAAGGCTCGGTTGTACGAAATCGGCAACAAACTAATCGCAATTTAATAATCAGTAAGCAGCACCTGGCAGATACTTCCTACCTTTCACAACGCCACTACTCGCTGAGGCGGAACGCTCTATGACATATGGCGGAACTGGCTAACTACGATCAACGAGAGGAAGATGATACAACAAAGTTGCTTGGGAATCGAGCAAGCGAGGCACAAAGGCAACAACGAGATCTGAGCAGGTGGTGGTGTACCAACCAACCGAAACACTATCTCCCCTCTGCCCGAATTTTCTTTCTCTCGGATTTCGACCCTTCCCATCTCCGTTCCTGATTGGGTCTCGAAGATTTTGTTCATCCCAACCCCTTCCTCCCGTTGCCCGAATCTTGATTTGACACCACCAAAACTTCTTGCAGTCAATGGACATTCTTATTCTCTACTCATGCCGTCCCGCACCTCACGCCAAAAGTTCAGTCTGGATTATAACCTGTGCCACGTGACCTGCCCGTGACTTAGAACCTCCTGAGGCGAGAAACTTCATCTCGCTACCTCACCCCCAATCGGATCAAACATTTGAATCTAAGAGAACCGAAACTAACCTGAAAGTGTTCTTCTCATACTTGCAACCACAACGAATCAAATTCAAGCAGAAACAACCACAACGGGTATGACCTCGTTATGCCCTTCCCTCCCAAAACAGCTCTGACTCATCTGGGTCAAACCAAACCAATTTTTTGGCGCATTCATCTAGGTTGTGGAATGGGCCCACCGCTGCCTTCCCTCCCTGGCACCCACCACTGTTCTGACTTGTCTAGTCAGACCAAATTTTGCTGCCTTCCCTCCCTGCCATCCACCACTGTTCTGACTTGTCTAGTCAGACCAAAATTTGACAGTGAGTGGTACAGAAGCAAGCGATTCGCTGCAAGTTGCGTCCCTTCATATTCAGTTTTGTTTCATTCTCAACTTAGAAGACTCGAAGACCACTACACGGAGCACAACAGGCGCCATCTCGACCAGAGGTGTTTCCACATCATGTCTTTCAGGCTACAGAAGAACGCGCGCGCGTGAAGAAAAGACAGAGGCGTGAGGCGTTTCCCTCGTGCCTTTCAGGCAAGCGAAGACAAGAAGAAGAGAAGACCAGAGGCGTTTTTCCATCGTGCCTTTCAGGCACTCGAAGTCCAGAAGAGATCTCTTCGAAGAGAAGACAGAGGCGTGTTTCCCTCGTGCCTTTCAGGCAAGCGAAGACCAGAAGAGAAGAGAAGGTAGAGGCGTTTTCCCTCGTGCCTTTCAGGTACACAAAGAACCGCGGCAGTCCCTATCACTTTCCTATCTCCTATGTTTCTTCTCCTCCCCCCTCAGATCACGGGAGGAGGAGCACCACGGTAGTTCTTCTCCGCCAATAAAGGTGCTCTCTTCCTCCTTTGCTTTCAGTCTTTTTTTTTCTTTTTTTTTGTCTTGTTGTTGTTCTTTATTTTTCTGTTTTCAACTAACTTTCTTATGGTTTTTTTAATTCTGCGCTGCAGGTTTAGCATGGAGCCGCGGAGGAAGCTATCACCCTCCCCTTCTGTCTCTTTCTTCTCCTCCCCCTTCAGATCACGGGAGGAGGAGCGCCACGGTAGTTCTTCTCCGTCAATGAAGGTACTCTCTTCCTCCTCATCGCGAAAAAGGACTTGCCAGAAAGCTGCGGGAAAGTTGCAAAAAGGATACTTTTTGGATACCTTGGTTTTGCAACTTTCCAGTGATGGTCAAATGTTGCAGAAATCGTGGTTGCGGGAAAGTTGCGAAAAAGTTGCATTCCTGCAACTTTCCCGCAACACAACCGCAACTTATTGGACAATCTTTGGACACGTTGTGTATACATTTCAGTCACATGTATGCAGTTTCACCACCTGCCACGTGGCATGCGTACAGTTTCGACTTCGAAGTGAACGTACGCCGGTACGTTCGCGAAGATATTTTGCCACGTCAGCTACGACCAATCAAACAAGCTGTGCGAACGTGGGAAAATTGATTTTAACAGGCCGCCGAATTGTCTGAAATCGGAGCACGCGTTTTAGTTACAGGTGTGTTTAAAAGTATTCAGTTTATACACTATATGTATTCTCTTGCACATTTGCATGCATACTTATCAGCATACACAGAGCACGATCTAGGCGAAAAACCAACACAGCTAATGCAACGACTACAGATCTTCAGGTCTCAATGGCAGATGAATATAGGGCGAAATCACGCTTCGTTTGCGGGCCTGCAAACAGAGATACGACATAGTGTTAGACATGGGTTAGTAGTCAGTAATTGTTCCCTACCTCACTGACCTACCGCCCGCGGGCCTTGAATTGAACTGATAACATTGCCATGAACAAGATTGACAACTCTGCGAAATCCCTGCGAAAAAAAAAAAAAAAAATGTATATATATCTCGTGGCAGCCACTGACTCTGCAACGGTCTTGGTACCACACAGGAGAAGACAGCTAAACGTTAGCGTTAGAGGCTGGATGGTATATAACTCGATACGAGCATGGGGAAGAAGCCACGACGATTTAAGAGATTTGCAAGCGGAGGCAAAGCGAGACCGAAGGCCTTCCCGCATGCAGAGAGCGTGCCGACGATCTGTGTATTGGGTGGATATGAAGCGGGAACATCAATGTAACTGATTAAAGTGGCACGGTGCAGCGCAGTTCAATACAAGAGAAAATGTATCTGCATTCATTGCGGGAAGAACGAGAGGAAAACGAGAACTGAAGAAGCCTAACAAGTGCGAATAAATGACAAGTGAGGATCACAACAGGAGTGAGGAGAATCGTTTGTAAAAAAAATCACGCTTTCAGCGCATAACACGGCGCTTCCGCTGCCGGGCAACGCGCTTTACGGCGCACCGTTCGTAGGTAGACGGGTGCTGAGTCCGCGGCGATTCGCGCGCAGAACGTCCTCTGCGTGGGGAGCGCAAGTCGATGAGCTGTATATGGGACGGGAGGTAGAAAAGAAGGGGACAGATGCAGGCTGAGACGGTAGATCTGGACAGATAGTAGCTTGAATACATACTTCCTATACTGATTATTACACACACAGAAGGAAGAGCATACGGTATACGCTAGTTGATGCGTGAGGGGATATTCAGAGGCACGATATGCAGGCTGGACTGGAAGAATAAGCTGAGAAAGTTGTGTGACCAATGAGCTACGCAACTAGCGTGTTGTGTGAATACGAAAGAGAGATGCTTCTAGAGCTCCAAAGTGTGATGATGTGTCTTCACGGATGCCGTAGATTTCTGGTACTAGCATACATCGCACCAGTAATTGGTTAGTAAAAAATCATGAAGGTGGGGATAGCTCAATTCCGGTTACCTAAGGTGTGATCCGGGAAGCCACGTCACTTGAACAGAATCTGAACACTTACATTGATTGGGTGTGACATGGAACTGTATGCCAGCTGCCAGTTCCGATTCTGGGTTGTGCCTTCGCGAGCCTCGTCTGAGGTTGTATCCCAGTTACTGTGCTCGCCACGTTCGACAATGCCTGCCTGATTCGTGCTGTAGTGTTCATCGATCATACACCAGCAAAGGGGACTCCCGAGATTTGGTCGGACGAAGGTGTACTGTTCGGTGAAGATGTTTCAAGTTTGATGTGTGAAATTCGCGGCTCGGTAAACCCACGTATACAAAATTTGCGCCCCGGCTGACCCACGTAGCTCATGTTCGCGGCTCGGAAGCCAGATTGTATCCGAAATTGGTGCATGTTGCGGTTTTCACTCAGTGCTTTTCGGATACTTTTCAGGTAGGTTTCTGCAACTTTCCTGCAGCTTTCAGACTTAAACTCGATTTTGAGCCAAACCCTTTTCCGCGAGGCTCTGCTTTCAGTTTTTGTTGTTGTTTCTGTCTTGTTGTTCTTTATCTCTCTGTTTTTGACTAACTTTCTTATGTTTTTCTCTTCTGCGCTGCAGGTTTAGCATGGAGCCGCGGAGGAAGCTATCATCCTCCCTTCTTGTCTCTTTCTTCTCCTCCCCCTTCAGATCACGGGAGGAGATCAACGGATAAGAAGATTCTACTCCAAAGTGAAGGTGATAACTCGGACTTTTCCTCGTTTTGTTTTTGTTTTGTTGTTGTTTATGTTTCTGTTGCTTTTTTTTTTTTTTTTTTTTTTTTTTTTTTTTTTTTTTTTTTAAATCTAACTTCCTATTTGGTTGCTTCCTCTATGATGCAGGTTTAGCGAGGAGCGCGGCGTCTGCTATCACCTTTTCCTTCTCTTTCTTCTCCTCCCCCAACAGATTACGGGGGGAGGCACGCGGCAGCGGACAAGCAGCCATCTTCGACAATGAGGTGTAAACTCTCTTCATGCTCATGTTTCTGTTTTTGTTTGCAGTCGTTTCTTTTCGTTTTGTTTTAGTTCTTTTTTATTCTTTTGTTTTGCGTTTCCTGCTGCTGCGATCGTATCACCTTCTCTTCTCTCTTCCACCCCCAGGTCGTGCAGAAGAACAGCAGCTGTGGAGTTACTGTGACAAACGGAACGTTAG